TTGCTGCATCCCTGAGAGTCAGAGACATCAAGTCAAGGTAATCTTAGGATGTATATTTGGTCTGAGGCTCCAGCTAAAACAAGAGTTGGGGATGGGGAGGGTGCTCAGACTCTGGGATCTAGAGCTCCTGAAGTTCTCCAGCCCAGTCCACCCAGCCTCCCTAGCTCCCATAGTCTCTAGGATGCCTATTGATACAATAGTCTGAGCAGAACTACAGAAAGGCCTCAGTGTGGGTAAAAATGGATATTGATCCCAGGCTTTGTACTGAGTCCATATTGTTGCTATTTTGAGAGCCATTAAAGTGTAGTGATTAAGAACAGGGATTCTGGAGCTAGAGCTCCTGGGTTTGCCCTTAGCTCAGCCTTTACTCCATGAGCTTTCTGTGGTGCAATTTCCTTATGTGAAAATAGTTATTTTAGGGGCGCCTGGGTGGCTCAGTGGGTTAAAGCCTCTGCCTTCGGCTCAGGTCATGATCCTGGGGTCCTGGGATGGAGCCCCACATTGGGCTCTCTGCTCGGCCGGGAGCCTGCTTCCCACCCCCCCTGCCTGCCTCTCTGCCTTCTTGTGATCTTTGTCTGTCAAATAAATAAATAAAATCTAAAAAGAAAAAAAATGTCTTTAAAAAAAGAAAATAGATATTTTAGTAATACCTACCTCATGGGATTATTGGGAGCATTAAATGAGTTAATACATGTAATTGTTTAGAAAAGTGCCTGACATACAGTTCTCACTAAATGTTAGGCAGTAATAATATTATTCTTAATTAGTGTAAGTTACCATGTAGCTTTCTTTAAAACCTTTGGAAATAAGATGCATAACATGATATTGTATGAGCTAAACTTTTTGGATTTCATGTGCTTTGAATCAAAAAACTACTGTTACATAGTAACACTTAGGATTTGCTCCCAAGCCAACAGGATTAGATGGTAGCTTGATAAAACATTAACATCTATAGAGAATTTGTACTAGTCATGACAGGAGTTGTTTATAAAGGTTTCTGTGGTCTCTTACAGTCTCGGCCCCCTTAAACACTGTCTGGGGGTTGGGGTCCTTGGGCAGAGCCCACCGTTTCAGGCACAGTGTCCCTGGTAAGCCGCTGGTAAGCAGTGATGGCAGTAAACATTTGCTTCAAATAATGAACTCCCCTAATCCACAAAGCAACCTTAAAAAAAATAAATAACTTGGCTTCTCAGGTAGCGTCTCTGCATGGAGAGGCTGTATAGACGAGACTGCTTGAATTATCTGGTTGCATATCCCGTTGTAAGTCTCACTGGAAATCAGTACATTAGCCTTCTGTTTTTACATGTCTATCTTGGGAGCTTAACTAATCAAGGTCTGCCCTGATTCATTACAGATAGATACAGATAGATAGATTCACTCTCTGTACTGACTAAGCAGGTAGCTGAGCCTACAGACTAAGAGCCAAACCTGGTAGATCCATAGTTCCCCTTTCTCATCGGTTTCTTGGGATATAGCTCCCTTCCTCCTTTGAATCACCCACCACTAGCTGCTTAATTTATTGGCTTGTGTTTTCTTTTTTTTTTTTTTAATATTTTATTTATTTATTTGACAGACAGAGATCACAAGTAGGCAAAGAGAGAGGAAGAGAAGCAGGCTCCCTGCTGAGCAGAGAGCCCGATGTGGGGCTTGATCCCAGGACCCTGGGATCATGACCTGGGCCGAAGGCAGAGGCTTTAACCCACTGAGCCACCCAGGTGCCCCTGGCTTGTGTTTTCTTTACTGGAGTTTCCCTAAGTGTGGGAGCAGTGATAATTCTTCACTATCTGTAACGCCAGTGTGCTAAAGAGAGGTGGAAAGTTCCAACTTTGATGCTTCCCTAAGTCCCCGGACCAGCCCAACATGACCAGGAATCCCTTGTGTGGTGATTAAGAAGTGTAACCACTGCACTGTGAACACTTGCTCTGTGGATCTATTCTTCTGATCCAAGCCATCTTAGTATGGATAGAGCTGAAAGGACCTTATGTATGAGCTTGTCTGTATCTCTTGTTTTACCAAAGGGGAAAGAGAGGCTACATGCCTAGGGCCCTATATCTTTATGCTCTCTTAACAGTCTCTTGAAGGCTTGGCTATACTGGCCAGGACTCATGACCTGTCATATCTAACTCAGCACCAGACATATCTAACTAGTACAAAAATTTAACTGCCAAAAAATACTTTCCTGTCCTATAGTTCAGGCAACATTTCTCCCTTTGTTATATACTATTGAAATACAAATTCATCTCAGATTTCAGACTATGTTTTTTTTTTTAAATGTTTCTTCTAAAGATTTATTTATTTTTTTAGACAGAGCAGGAGAGAGTGTGAGTGGGAGGAAGGCCAGAGGGAGAGAGAGAGAGAGAGAGAACCCAAGTAGACTCTGTGCTGAGTATGGAGCCCAACTTGGGGCTCAGTCTCAGAACCCTGAAATCATGGCCTGAGCTGAGATCACGAGTTGGATCTTAGCTGACTGAGCCACCCAGGCTCCCCTTCAGACTTTGTTTTTAACTGAATGCTTTGTAGCCCGATTGTTATGTCTTTTGACTGCTTTGTAGATAGAGTTCATGGCAACTATTTGAATCTACTTTTTCCCTTTTTTTTGAGAGGCCTGTAAGGGGGGCAGGTCCTTCCCAACTGCCGCAGGACATGACCAGCCAGCCTGACAAGAGGCTTCAGAGCCAGTTCCCCAAACCCTTCAGATTTGCCGATGCTCTTAGCTCAGTTGCCCACCTGGATAGAGAAGCTGAATTTGTCACACTGAGTCTTTTTTTTTTTTTTGACTCTATATCCCAAATTGTAGACAGATGATTTCATAATCTTATAATAAACTTGAGTACTTTATAAAATAATAATTACTATATACTACAACATAATTATATTCCAATAATTCTATAAAAATTTTCACATTAACAATAGGATATTCTTTTAAAAATTTTAATGATGTTTATTTTAATCACAATAGAAATTTCTATTCTAAACATTTTTATTTCCTTTTCCTTCTCCTCCTCCTCTTCCTCCTTTGACATGGAGTACTACTATGTGCTTTAAGCTTTTAATTTCTTTTTATTTTTTTTAAAGATTTTATTTATTTATTTGACAGAAAGAGAGATCACAAGTAGTCAGAGAGGCAGGCAGAGAGAGAGGGGAAGCAGGCTCCCTGCTGAGCAGAGAGCCCGATGCGGGGCTCGATCCCAGAACCCTGAGATCGTGACCCAAGCTGAAGGCAGAGGCTTAACCCATTGAACCACCCAGACGCCCCTATTTTTATTTTTAAAAATAAAAAAAAAAACTTTTCCTTTTTAAAATTTAAATTCAATTAATTAACATATAATGTATTATTGGCTTCAGGGATACAGGTCTGTGATTCATCAGTCTTATACAATGTCCAGTTCTCATTATAACATATACCCTCCCCAATGCCCATCACCCAGTTACCCCATCTGCTTTAAGCTTTTTTTAATGGCAAAGCTATCTTATTAGCTTAGCATTAATTTTACATACTTAAGAAAAAATTTGGGGTGCTTGGGTGGCTCTGTCGGTTGATCATCTGACTCTTGATTTTAGCTCAGGTCAGGATCTCCGGGTTGAGAGGTGGAGCCCACATTGGGTGGGGGGCGGGAGGTCCATGCTCAGTGGGGAGTCTGTTTGAGATTCTCTCTCCCTCTGCCCCTCCCCACCAGGCATGCTCTCTCTCTAAAAATAAGCAAATCTTTTTAAAAAAAAAAAAAGAAAAAATTTGGTAGCCAGTTACAAATGGATATACATTTTTCTCATAATATGTTTTTACGTATTTCTAAGAGGAAAGTGAGGCCGCATTAATGAGTGAATTAAACGGAAAGTGTTTTAATGTACATGCTCAGATGGTTATTCAAGGAGCACTTCCTAGAAGTGTGTTTGGAGCAAGATTTTAAGAGATGGTATAGATATACACTGCTGAAAAGAGAAGAGGTTAGAGAAAAAGGAAGTAAAACAAATTATGCATTGTGGCTCTATATCAGAAGAAGGGGGAATGGATGCTAACAAAAAAATGATGTCCGTTGCAGGATGGTTAAGCGAGCTCTTTGTTGGAATGAGTATGGAGTGTTGGAAAGCAGTGATTGGTAACATTATTGAGATGTAGATTCACAACCTTGCAACCTGCATTTTGCCTGGATACTTGGCTAGATTCTAAGGGAAAACCATAGAGGGAGAGGGAGGTGCCTGACCAGTAGGAACTTACAATCTTGCGATGAGATTGGGCAGGTGGAAGGTGGAGAAGGAGCCTTCACAGCCAGTAAGAGCAGCTTGGATTTTACACGGTGTGTGACGGAAGGAGCCTTTGCAGGGTCTCGTGTATCATCCTGCCTCTGTTGTCTGATCAGGAAGCAGAGATCTGAGCTGGGAAAAATCAACATTGAGCAGGTGACTAGGTTTCAAAAATCAATTTTTGCAGCTATATATGATCAATTAGCAAAAGAGTTGGTTTTTTTTTTTTTTCATAAAAAACTATTTTGAACCACTTTAGGAAAAAGATGCGCTGCCTAAAGTCTTCTGTTCGTGATTAACAATGGAAAATCACTGGTTTGCTTTTGCAGAGACAGCACTTAATGTCAGTAACTTCAGGCTGTTTTCCAATTTTACAGTAAATTTTTATACTAAAACCAATTTAGGAAGCTGTTTAGTCCATGGCCTTTTTCGGTGGAAAGATGGTGTGGGTAGACTAGAATAATGACGTCTTCTTTTCCACACCAAAGTATTAATAAGGTACTAATGGCTCCATTTTGATACTGTCGCTTTCAAAATAAAGGAGAGAGGTCAAGTTGCTTATGAAAACATCTTGGATTATGGTAAAGTTGGGTAGCTTTATAGCAGTTGAGATGGCAAATATTTCAGGTTTTGCTTTTAGTGTATCAATTCATCTCCCATTTTGGATCAGACCCAAGAGAGAAAGTATCTTGATTTTTCTTTGCTATTGAATTTGTCCTCTCGTAGTTGTTTGTTCTCACGTTGTAGAAATATAGATTTTATTTTTTCCCTTTCTTCATCTTTTCATCTGCTTCTTTGGTACTTGCAACCCGCTCCGTGATTTCCACTCTCTCCACTGGCATTCCCATGGGAGGCCTTCTGGGGTCCTTGGTGTCTGGGAATGACATTTGAGGCATATTTAAGTGCCTCACAATAATCCTGGGTTTGTGTGCGTTTTGACGCACATGGATTGGTGGTAGGTCTCTGAAAGGCACCAACACAAAAACAACGGGAACTCTGAAGTCTGGGGTCAGATTGGGTTGCGGTTGTTCACGTGTCACTTGAAAATACTGCCCAGGAAAGACCTTGTTGAAGGGGTAGCTCTCTAAAGCCACCTGAGCTTTTATGTTCCGATTCTCTTTTGTCTGGGGAAGAACATCAGTGAAATAAGGTTTCACTCCTGTTATCCTGTTGATTTCGTAAGCATTGTGCCTATCAGCCAGTGCTCTCCCGGTTAAAATGGGCTGGAAAACAGTGGGTCCTGAGACACCGCTCACAAAGCTGTTGAGGAGAGAATGCCAAATCCCATCACTTATTGGGCTCAAGGTGACCTGTGGCCATAAACTGGCCAGGCTCCGGAGAGCCTCCCGGTTCCACGCCGAGGCAGGAAATTCGGCCTCAGTATGATAGAGCTGAGCAAAGTAAATGCTGAGAGTAACGTCTGGATACATTATTAAGAAATTGTACATTTTGCTGATGCAGCAGTGGTTGGCTTCATTACAAGGAGAGTTGTTGGAATACAGAATGATATGCCTGATAGCATTGTTTTTGTGCCGGGCTGCCTCAAAATAACCCTTCATCTCGAATAGCATCGATTCTGGATGGGTATTGTTCTCAGTGCAACTGCTAGCATGGCCCTTTTGCACCAGGCTTCCAGAAGAAGTTTTTAGCTCATAAAACGTGAGGTGTTTTGTTTGAGGATACACTGGCCCATAAGGGAATGCAAAAATCTGATGAAATTCTGTATAGGGAACTCTTGCTTCTTCACCTGTCCGAATATGGTAAGGACAGTTCGAACAATCTAGAGAGAAGCTTAGCCAGTAATAAGGTTTTACTATTGTTCCACGATTTGCTAGGTATTCTTCATATAAGGGTTCCATTGCTAGATTTATGGTCTTCTAGCTGCAACCCTAAACAAGGAAAAGAAATTATACGTAAAACCAGTGCAGGAAAAACTAAAGAAAATGCATTGATTTATTGAGCCATAGTTTTCTTTAAAGAAGGTAGCACAATAGCTATAGCATCTTTGATTTTTTTTTTTTCAAAGATTTTATTTATTTATTTATTTGACAGAGAACACATGTGGGCAGGGGCAGGCAGAGCGAGAGAGAGGGAGGCAGTCTCCCTGCTGAGCAGGGAGCCGGATGTGGGGCTTGACCCCAGGACCCTGGGATCAGGATCACGACTTGAGCCGAAGGCAGAGGCTTTAACCCACTGAGCCACCCAGGCGCCCCAGCGTCTTTGATTTTAAAAGATAGTTATATATAGCCATAGATGAGGAAGCTCAAGATTCATCTTTGTTCATTGAGATTCTTGGGGTGTGGGGAGGAGATGAAAAAGAAAGGCATAATGCAGCTTTACCTGTTTCACAGATTGTGAGACAACACAGCAAATGGGTTAACAGTGCAAGTTCTGGAAACAAGACTGCCTTGTTTCAAATCTGGGCTCTGCCCCTTACCAGCTCAGTGACTTTCTGCAAGTTGTTTAAAGTCTGGGAGTCATAGCTTCCTTGTCTGTAAAGTGAGGGTAAGAATAGTATCTACCTCTCACTAAAAGGTTATCTTGAGGGGTGAATAATGGGATACATATACAATGCTTTATTATGTGCCTGACTCATGTTAAGAACTCACTAAAGATTAGCTCTCAGCAGTGATAGTACAAATCCCGGGATTATCTAAACAATTCTTGTTTTTGAAAGCCTAAACAAAAAAGCAGGGGTTTTGCAATTTTGTTTGTAATGTTCTTCCTTTGTCCCTTTCTTGAATGATATTATCTAATTATCTGCATAGGTTTTGAATGTGCTTGCATTTAAAATCAGCTGTTTCTTCAGATCAGTGGCAATAAATGAAGCTAATTATCCTTTTGGGGAAAGGATCATGGTTACTGGTGGAGACTTCTCTTGGGAATGCCATTTGAGTATTCTTTGGGTAGTGAACACTTTGCTATTTGAGGGTTTTATTTCCAGTGGGTGGGTCTTGTTAGAACATTTTGGAAACTTTACCATTCTGGAAAGCACATATGGTTCTTTAGGATATTTCAAGTGAATAGTTTCTGGGATGTTAAACCACAAAAGATGAGGTCTGTAAGTAATGATTTTTTTCCTTTAAACAAAAATTACTCAGTTACATTGTTCCCATGCAGCAACCTAGGGCATTCTAATATAGTTTCAAGAACATTTTTAAATAACTTTGTATTATTCAAGTATTATGTATTTCTTGTACGATATTTTTAAAAATGCTAATACATAAAGGGAAAAATAAAAACTCATACTGATTTCTCTCAGTTTATGTTCCCTAACTGTTAACATGTCTCTTCCCTCCAGTCTTTTTGCTATGTGTTTGTTATGCACAACAGAAATAAAATCATGTTTTATACTTGGCTTCTCACTTAGTATAGGTCATGAGTGCTTCCCCATGTTATTAAAAATTTTTCAAAAAGCAATATTCATGGCTAATTAGTATTTTATTATGCAACAAGTATGTAATCAAATATTCAGGTTCTTGCCTCTTTTTATTATTATAAATAATACTTCGATGAGCATTTCTGGAAATAAAGTTGTGTTTTTCTTTTCTTTTAATGTAGATTACTAAAAGTTGTATTATTAGCTCAGACTTTGTCAGATTGCTTCTTAGGATGGTGTCCCAATTCTATCTCATCCTCCTTTGCCCATTTGAGAAGTGAGCATCCGTATCCCTTTTTTGCTATAATTTGGACCTTTTCAATTCCTCGTGAGGTTGAACGCATTTTCACATGCTTATTGGGCTGTAGTATTTATCCTTCTGTGAAATATGTCTGATCCCTCCCCCCGCCCCAGCACTTTGTTGAGGTTTTCCTTACTGATTTGCAAGAACTGTCTTTGGTTTGTTTTGTTTTTGTTTTTTAAATATTTTATTTATTTATTTGATAGGAGATCACAAGTAAGCAGAGAGGCAGGCAGAGAGAGAGGGAGAAGCGGGCTTCCCACTGAGCAGAGAGCCCGATGTGGGGCTCGATCCCAGGACCCTGAGATCATGACTGGAGCTGAGGGCAGAGGCTTTAACCCACTGAGCCACCCAGGCGCCCTGCAAGAACTCTTTTTGTATTAAGAATATTAGCTGTCATAATTTTTGCAAGTATTTTACCTGGTTTATGGAGCCATTTGATGATGCTGATGGCATTTTTAATTATACCAATTTTTACATTTTTCTATGGTCTCATCTTTGCCCTTAAGATTTTTTACTGTTGTATTTGGAAAAGACTTCCCCATCAAAGAGGAGTTAAGTATTCCCCATATTTTTTTCTAGTATGTATGGTTTTATCTTTTACATTTAACTCTTTGTCCAGGCAACAACCACAGATAAAGCAGAAAATTAAAGAGAGATAAACTGACCATTACAAAACAAAAGAAAATATATTTCTCACTTTCCAAAATCAAATTTGGCATTTCAGGAGTATTTATTACAGTTTTCATATGGAAGCACTTGGATCAACTTCTTTCTTCCTCAACCCCAGTCACCTCTGTCCCTGCTGTATTTGGTACCACTGAAACCTGCAACGCTCCTTTGCCGACCTGTCCTGGGCAGAAGATACTTTAGGAGCCTCAGTCCTGCTGTAGAGGGAGTGTGATTTACTCATGCCACCATTTTCCTAACGGCTGATATCGCTGCAGTAATTCTGGATGCCACAAACCCATCAAATTCCAGGTTTCTCCTAATCTCTGTCCTGTCAATTTAGTCCATAGGGTCAGACATTTACCTCAGTGTCCTCCTCAGTTCTGCACTTTCCTGGTGTGACTGGATTCGTGCCCCGAGGCCTCCCAGCCCTTGCCTATCTTTTCCTCTGAGTCCCAGACTTTCTTTTCTTCTCCTTTTGGCAACGAATCCATTACCTGGAGCCTCACACCATCTCGGGTTGACCCTGGGCATTGCTTTCTCCCTGGATTTCCTCCTCTTTCAGCCTTACCCATCAGACCAGACAGATCTCTCTGAATATCAGAACTTGCTGAAACCAAGCCCAGAGTCCTACTTGTTTTTGAATCTGGGGCCTTGGATGTGGTCTGCTGTTGGGTGGCACAGCCTATATCCAAGGGACTACTCAGACTGCAGTTTCAAGTCCCCCATGATTCGACTGGAATATTCCAGAAACCGTAACATGAGGCCTTTGTCTGCCTGTTTTAGGGTGGATGGAATGGGTGGAGTTAACTACACTTAATTGTCCCACACTTACCCTTATGGGAAGCAGAAGTCTTTGTATCTTTCAAAATAAAGGCAGTATGGGAAGTCCCAGCTGTTTTTCTAAGTACTCTTCTCTTTGTACTCCGTTTGCTCTTTTAGCTGGGAAGCATGCATCCTTCCTGTCTTTAAGGAGATCTTGAGGACTGGTGGCTTCTATAGGGCACGGGGTGGCGGGGGGGAGCTCTGGAGTTTCATTCTTGCTAATGGCTTTTCACTGTCAGTCAGCTGTGGTTCCCCATGGGTGGAGCCTCCACTTTTTCAGAGGGTCTTTCGAAGACTTTTCTTTGATCACCTTCATCCGAGGGGGAAGAAGGAAAGACCTACGTCAGCTTCGAACTCTTAGAGAATCGGTGATTTGTATCATCAGTTGGCCAATGATCACAGACTCTTTTGTATCCTTCACTTCTCCTTATCTGCCCATTCACTGTGCCCCTACCCAGGCAGGGGCATACCCTGTTGAGCCCAGGACCAGACTCAGGGAATCTTAGTTGGTTCACAGGCCAGGTTGGCTGAGAATTGTCTCCCCAGCATCCTGTGTCCCTACTACCTCGTCCTTCCCCCACCATCTTTGGCCGTGCTTGGGAAAGGCATGATGCCTTTGGTAGAGCAGGTCTACTAGCAGTAAGAAGCAGAGATCTGGGGACGCCTGGGTGGCTCAGTTGGTTAAGCGGCTGCCTTCGGCTCAGGTCGTGATCCCGGAGTCCTGGGATCGAGTCCCACATCGGGCTCCTTGCTCAGCGGGGAGCCTGCTTCTCCCTCTGCCTCTGCCTGCCACTCTATCTGCCTGTGCTCACTCTTGCTCTCTCTCTCTCTGACAAATAAATAAATAAAATCTTAAAAAAAAAAAAAAAAGAAGCCGAGATCTGTAGAACCCAGCGCCTTGCTACTGGTTGTGAGTGGCCCCTGGACTGCGGCCTTGGGACGACAGCCTTCCTTCCTTTAACATAAATGAGGCATACATGAGGACAATCTGCTCTCCCTTCACCCCCAGCTAGGATTTAGTGAGTACTGGTAAAGCACAGTTTGCACTGGAGTAGTGGGAGAATGGAGTTTGCCCTTCCCAATCTGTGCGCAATCTGTTAGCAGCTAAAAACAAATGTTAGCAGTTATAATTACCATCATTTTGTCTCCAGGCTTGGATAACATTCCAGGTGTTCTAGAAGATGGTCCGCTCCCTTTTTTCCTCCTTTCAGTACCATGCCCTGTTTTGAGGGGCTCCCGAGGCCGGTCGTGCTGGCGAGCTTCACCTCCCGAATCGGTTCGGGACTCTTTCGCAGTTTGTGTCTGTTAGTTCCTTTGAACTTTGCTGTCCCAAGTTCGAGAAACCTTGCTGAGGTGTGGCTGCCTCTAAGAACAGTGTTGAATTGGTGCCATGGTAACGTTTGCAAAGTAGCTACTGCTAGGATACGGCTCTGACACTTATTACTTTATTTGCATTTCAAACCACCTGTTCCGAAGATGAAAATATACATGAATGCATATTCCAGTCTGCATGAAAGCACACTCGCTGACGATTGCAGGGGACATGTTGGGGTTTTTCTCCCTCTGGCTGTAAGAATCAAGCTCCGAGGTCCTGCTCCTCAGCGTCTTTGTCCTGATCTAGAGCAGGTGCCGGAACCACGATTCACTGGTTCCGTTGCATGTAGAGACACCAGGGCCCTTTCTTA